GAATCTACACTATTGTTAAGGTTGCTGGTAAGTATCCAAACACGGCTAAGCAGCCACATGGCATTTTATACTCTTGTAGAAGGGCCCTGAGCTCCAGCATAGTATTGGCCAAGAACATATGATACTTGATCTTCAGTGAGGGGCTCATTTAGAGATGCTCCTTTAATGTGGGACCCAGCGGTACTACCAGGATGGGAAGTGCTCAAGGGAATTGGGCTGGTGCTGGTACCCAGGTAATCTGTTTGCTTCAAAGAAAGTAGAAATAGAAACACTAGTCTGTCAGATGAATTTGGGAAAGTGGTTAACACCCTAATATTAAAATCGCAAGAAAGGAAATGAAATAAAAAAAACAGAGCCATATGGGTTTGCAATCAAGTTGAATCCAGATTTTTTATTTTTTGGTGAGGAAGATTGGCCTTGAGGTCACATCTGTTGCCAATCTTCCTCTTTCTGCTTGAGGAAGTTTGTCGCTGAGCGAATATCTGTGCCAATCCTCCTCTATTTTGTATGTGGGATGCCCACCACAGCATGTTGTGATGAGCAGTGCATAGGTCTGTACCCAGGATCTGAACCTGTGAATTCTGGGCCACAAAAGTGGAGCATACAAGCTTAACCACCAGGCCTGCCCCTCTAACTTTTAATGAACATGTAATGGCAATAACAACAAATTAAGACTATTAAATTCTTAATTTTGAATATTAATATATGAAATCAGTATTAATATCAATTTTGAATATTTGTACAAAAATTCTGAATAAAATAGTCACAAGAAAAACTGAGCAGTTTTTCAAGAGAATAATATGCCATGGCCAAGCATGTTATATTCTGCCTCAAGTGTTATATGCGGTTTTATTCATTGTTATATGCGGTTTTATTGCACTGTCCTCCTCAGCTGTCTGGTATTCGGTGTCTGGTTATTAAGGAATTCTTAATCCCCTAAATATGCCAGCTACCTTGTCACTAACGTATATTTAGGAAGACCAAACGCTGATCTCTACTTGTGTCCACTTGATGAGTGAAAGCCAAGGGGGAGGGAAGAAGCCCAGGGCAGAGAGCCTCGAGCACCACCGCAGTGCATCCCCCTGAGTGACATTCATTCAGGAATTCCTCTACTGCTATTAACTGAGGATCAGCAATTTTTTTCCTAAAGGGCCAGATAAATATTTTTGTAGTTACTCAGCTCTGCTGTTGTAGCTGGAAAGCAGCCATTGACAATATATAAATGAATGGGTGTGGCTGTATTCCAATCAAATTCTGTTACCCCTTGGTTTAAATTGATAGATAAAAAGAAGCTCTGAGAGATCTCCTTAGTTTGTGTCTGCCAGGTGTAAGAATTTTGGAGGGGAAGTGATGGAAGAAAGAATTTTTAAAATTTCTTTAAAAAAGGACTAAATGCATAAAGCAAAAATAATGATGATGCATTCTATGATGTACATTATAGGCAGAAGTGAGCTTATGATGAAAATAATCCAGAGGATAGGCAGGCAAAAAGTAAATATACTGTTTAACATTCTTACCTTATATGCTAGGTAGTATAACGATATTTGAGGATGGACTGGGGTAAATACTGGAAACCATAGAATAATCTCAAAAAATAAAATAAAGGGTATATCTGATAAGCCAAAGTGGAAATACAAAAGAAAAAAAATTCAATTTAAGAAAAGGCAAGAAAGTGGGAAAAGGAAACAAGCAGCAGATAGGCAGAAAGGAAAAAAGGCACCAGTGGTACATAGAGACATAAATGCATAGATATGTGGTTACTGGACCAGCATTAGAATGAGCTATGAACTTGATAGCATTGCAGATTCATGGGCTCCACCAAACATACTGGTGATGGGTCCAGAAAAGTATGGCTTAATAAGCTCTCCAGGTGACTCTTATACATGTTAAAGTTTTAGAACTGCTGATATAGATAATTACATCAATTGTAAATTGTCTAATGATTACATTTAGAGATTGTCAGGCTGGATTTAGGAAAGAAAGGAGGATACTACACATTTTTATATATATATATATATATATATATATATATATATATATATATACACACACACATTTACACAATATATACATTTTAAATATATACGTGTGTGTGTGTGTGTGTGTGTGTGTGTGTATATATATATATATATATATATATATGTAAGATAAATAGGTCAAAAGTAAAAGGATAGATGAGAGAATATTATGGAAACACTAATCCAAAGAAAGCTGTAGTGGCTGTGATAATACCAGACAAAGGAGACTTCAGAACAAGGAATATTAACAGGGTCAGAAAGCCATTTCATAATCAAAAAGTATCCAGTTCCTCAAGCCCACATTCACAAGAGTGAATGTACATAATAATAGCTTCAAAACATAGGAAAAAAACAGAAGTGAAAAGTAATAGGAAAAAAATAAAATGGTAAAGATGGTTCAACACCCTTCTCTCAGTAAATAGATAGCAAATCAGTAATAGCAAAGAAGAAAACACTATCAAATAGACTTAATTATCAATTATAGAAAACTCCACCCAACAACAGAATACCTGTTCTTTTAAGTCCATATGGAATAGTCACCAGGTTAGACCATATGTTGGGCAACAAAACTCTAGTCTCATAAATTAAAAATATCCAATCACACAGAGTGTATTCTTAGACCAAAATGGAATTATTAAAATCAGTAACAGAAATATCTGGGAAATGTTTGGAAATTAGGCAATACATATTTATATAACCCATGAGTCAAAGAAGAAATTTCAAATGGAACTTAAAATATGTTGAACTGAATAATAATGAAGATAGAACATGTCAAAACTTGTGACATTCACCTAAAAAAAGGGTTTAGAGGGAATGGCTAACATCCAAAAGACTGATAATAAGAAGGATGATAAAGATGTGGAGTCAATGGAGCAGTCATAAATTAATAGTGGGAATATAAAACAGTTTTAAAAATTGGAAAACAGCTTGTCAATTCCTCCTAAAGTCAAACATACAACTACCTTACTTCCTAGCAATTTTACACCTAGGTATTTACCTAAGATAAATAAAAACTTAGACCCATTCAGATACTCTCACAGAAATGTTTATAGCAGCTTTATTCATAATAGCCCCGAACTGGAACAACTCAAATGTCTGCTGACAGGAGAAAGGACAAATAAATTATAATATATTCATATAATGGAATACTACTCTGCTATATATTGGATTGAACTGATACATGAAACAACATGGATGAATCTCAAAGTAATTATGCTGAGTGGAAGAAACAAGACAAAAAAGAAAACATACTGTTTGATTACATTTATATACACTTCTAGAAATTGCAAAATAATTTCTGGTCACAGAAAGCAGATCAGTGGTTGCCTGGAGGCAGAGGGGGAGGAGGCTGGGAGGTGGGAGGGATTACAAAAGCATTGTGGGTGATGGATTTGTTCATTATCTTGATTGTAGTCATGGTTTCATGGATGTATACACATTTCAAAACTAATCCATTTGTAAGTATATGTGGCGATGGATATTTATTAGACGTAGTGTGATCAGTTCTCAGTATATACAAACACTGAATTATTATGTTGTACACCTGAAACTAATATAATGTTATATGTCTATTATATCAAAATTTTTAAAAAATGAATCCAAGTGTATACTTTAAAGATGTGCTGTGTACTATATCAATACAGATGTTATTAAAAACATGATATCATAGATTTATATAAAGATAGATGTAATATATACGATAGCTGAAATATAGAAGATGGGGCTATAAATTGCAAGGTTCTTACACTTGATGAGTAAGAGTTCAATATTAACTCTAAGTAGATTCTGAATAGTTAAGAATATATATTATAATAGAGACAGTGACCACTAAAACTGATCACAAAGTATAGCAAAGAAGCAAATTAACATGGAATTTTAAATAAATACTTAATTAACCCAAGAAGACAAAATAGAGAAATATGGGAACAAAAGCCAGATGGAAAAGACAGAAAATAATAAAATGGATGACCTTAATCTAACTGTATCAATAATTACATTAAATGTAAATGGGCTAAACACTCAAAATGAAATAAAGACATTGTCACAAGGGATAGAAAAATAAGAGGGTTTGATAAACTAAGGGATGTCTTCAATCCTCAAGTTCTTTATGTTAAATCCTATGCCACATAGTTTTCTTATTTCAACAAATATTTTGAATGGCTGCATAGCACTCAAACTTGCAGTTATAATAGATGTAATCATCTCCAGAACTAGGTTTCTATACACAAGGTTGGACAACATATCTAAGGTCTTTTCTGTTCTTCATCTCTGATAACTTCAACAGCTTATGTTTTTATTCTCTTTTCATGGCCATTAACAATCCCTCACTGAGCACTTTTGCAGTTCCTGATTTAGAGAATACTCGATGTATGATAATGCAGAATTATACCAAGGTCATTAAATTTCAGCACATACTAGTCAATAATAAAATATTCATTCTACGTATCATTCAGAAATTCCTTACCAAGAACCATGATCCATATATTACAAGCCCCAATTCATATTGCTATTCAATTCTAAAAACCTCACAGAGCATTGGATCCCAGCCTCCCGAGACCACTCATTGCTGGGCTTTATCAGATGTATCTAGAAAACTCATGTCTGTGAGAATGTCAGTCTTTCCCTGCTTGACCAAATGGGATCTCCATCTCTCATGCAACTACAGCCCTGACATGGGAAGCTCAAATCATTTCTTGACAGGACTTAATTTCTTCATTCCTCCATTATAGCTCTTAATATTACTAAGCTGAGCACATAGGAGAGAATAATCTGGTCAGTGAATGCATAAACACTGGCTGGAAGAGACTCGGCCACATAAGGAGGACTAGGTTATTTGGAACCATTGTTCAGTTCACTGGAATGGGAGGAACTGGGAAGCACATAATCAAATGGGGTTCTTTTGGGTAGGATGCTTCAGAGCAATTAATGAAAACATTTACGTCTCACTATTTCAACGAGAAGGAAACACTAACTTACACATACCATAGTTCTGCACCTGCCAAAACTGATCAGTCCTCCTTGGGATTCCTCTACTGGGAAAGAACAAAGAGAATCCAGAGCTGGGAAAGGAAAAAGAGACCATGAGAGCAAGCATAATTTAGGGTTACCATGAAAGGAAGTAACATTTGGCTCTTCCATTCCATTTTGCATAATACCTCTAACTGTACAAACACAACATATGAAAAGATTAGAAGGATTGTAGATAAACCCAAAATCTTCCCCTAATCCCAAGGAAACCCAAATACTTCAGCAGACATTTTTCTGGCCTGTCCTCCACTTTGGGGAAGCTGCTCTGCACCTGAGACTAGGCTGCTCAGCCCTGCCCTGAACAGGTCCTCCTCCATCCATTCACATCTTCCAGAACTGAAAAGGAGCCACACCATCCAACCACACCTTACCTCATGGCCTTTGGGTCAGGTGAGGTTGAACAGGTTAGAAAAGACATAGAACTGGTCAGGAAGTATTCAATATCCCAATTCCAGAGAAACTGACTGTGATTAAACACATTATGACATATTCATGTAATAAACGTGAAGTCAGGAAAAATATCGTGAACACGGAAAACATTCCAGAAATACTGTCAGTAGAAAAATCAGGTTATAAAAGTGTAGGTACAATATGATACCATTTGAAGAACATATGTGTATCTCAATATCAAACGACTGAAAAATCATCAGACTTCAATAGAGAGAAAAAGGTCTAGAACGTTGTATATTCACATATTGACAGTGCTTATCTTTTGCGCCTGATGGGGGTTTTGTTTATTTCAGTTTACCTTAACTTGCTGATTCAATGGCCATTTCTTAAAATATCTATGCATGTGAACATTTGTTGTGTATTAAGTGGAAGCTGTTTTCTAAAATGTGGAAAGTACATTCTTGTAAACAGAGTTTAGTAGGTCTTGGAGGAATGTACTAAGTTTGAGTTGTTTTACTAAATGGTTTTTGTTTCCTTCAGTTACCAGTGACACAATCTCCTCTCAGGTTTATAGGCATGCTCATTGTTGGATGACCGTCTAGACAGATGGTCAAGTCCCTGAGTATAGGTAACATGTATTGTTGCTGGTCTCGGGGCTACATCCTTTTGCAAGTTTTCTGTATGGAACCCTTTCCCACCCTGTTAGTCACGTCCTCCAGAAAGCTGCTCAATTATCTTATCCCATCAGTCTCACTCAGCAACCATCATCATCAGAATAAAAAAGGTAACGTAGGAGTTACCATGTGACCCAGAACTTCTGCCCTTAGGTATATACCCAAGAGAATGGAAATATGCATTCACAAAAAAACTAGTACAAAAATGTCCTCATTTGTCACAGCCAAAAAGTGGGAGCAACCCAAATGTCCAGCAACAGATGGATGAAGAAAATGACATTTATGGATATAAGGGAATATTACGCAGCCAGAAAAATAAGGCTATTTTGATACCGAATGCACGTGGATGAACTTGAAGACACTGTGCTAAGTAAAGTGAGCTCGTCATGAAAGTATAAATTTTGCACGATTGCTCTACTATCAGGGTCCTAGAAAAGTCAAATTCACAGAGACAGAAAGGATAACATGGTTGCCAGGGCTGGGAGGAGAGGGGAATGGGGAGTTAGTGTTTAATGACACAGAGTTTCAGTCGAAGATGAGTAAGTCCTGGAAGTGGATGGTGCTGATGGTCGCACAACAATGTGAATGTACTTACTGTCACAGAACTGTACACTGAAAAGTGGTTAAAATGGCACATGTAATGCCATGTAAACTTTCCAAAATAAAGTAAAAGAATAATGTGCTTATCTACCACATGGAAGAACTTTGAAAACCTCATGCTAAGTGAGAGGAGCTAGACATAAAAGGACACATATTGCATGGTTCTATGTAGACTGAATTTCAAGAGTCAGCAAATCCATGGAGACAGAACACGGGTTAGTGGTCTCCAGAGTATGGGAGGATGAGGGATAGGAAGTGACAGCTAACAAAGACAGGGTTTCTTACTAAGGTGATAAAATGTTTTGCAATTAGATAGTGGTACTGATTTGTACAACCTTGTGAATATAGTAAAACGTTTTCTTTTGAGTACGTTTTTACAAGGTGAATTTGGGGCTGGCGCAGTGGCGTAGTGGTCAAGTTCAGCACACTTTGCTTTGGTGGCCCGGGTTCACAGGTTTGGATCCCAGGCATGGACCTACACCACTCATCAAGCCATGCTGTGGTGGCACCCCACATACACAATAGAGGAAGATGGGCACAGATGTTAGCTCGGGGCCAAGCAAAAGAGGAAGATTGGCCACAGGTGTTAGCCCAGGGCCAATCTTCCTCACCAAAAAAAAAGAAATGGAATTTTATGACCATGTATATATCTCAACTTAAAAAGTAACGTAAAAATTTACAACACAAATTCCTTACCGTCTCGGTGCTCTCATAGGTCATCATAGTTTGATCACAACCCAACAGTGGTAGCTGCAGTCAGAATGTCATCACTGCCTTATCAAACACCAGTCACATTATCTGAATCTCCCTAGTGGCCTTCGATGCATTTATTCCTATTCAGGGTTTACCTTACTTACCAGAGGAACATAAAAGATCCACTATGTCATTTGAGTCTTTTTATCACCCCAAATACTAAGATGGCATGCTCTGGCATATCATAAGCACTTACTAAAAATCTGATTATTTGACCCCAATTCTAGTTCTAGACATTTCTTAAGAAAATATTGAGATAAAGAAATGCATGTACGAGTATGTTCAATACGTAGTTTTTGACAGCCAAAACTAGAAACACAAAAATCTAACAAGGAACAGGTTAATTAATTTGGTCCTGCTAGATGATGGCATGTACAGCATTATTAATCAGGATGATACTGGTCCAAGTGTAAAATACACACTTAACTGGGGAATGGTATCCAGTTGAAACTTAAGACATAGATTCTGTTCTCAGATTTTCTAGAGTCCATGACATTTTAGTGTCTTGAGTTTTTCATCAGTAAAACCAAGAGTATGAAGATCCCTTACTAAGCATGAATATCTTGGAGAAATATAATCTACATAAAAACTTAATAATATGTTGTAATCCCATATAAGTATGTTAGCTATTTTTATTGAAGAACGTTGCATGTCTACTAACTGGGTATTATAAAAGAAACAATTTTCCTTTTTAGAGTAATATTGTGCTTATCAGCCCTGCTGTGATAATGCTCACAAAAGGGGGGGGGGGGAATCAGGACTTTTACTTGAGAATGCATTTTTAATTCATAAATCAAGAGTTTCTAGAAAAGAAGAGGAGGAAATTTCCCTCCCACCGAAATGCAGCAGAAACAAAGAGACATTTGTGAATCACAACCTGCCCAAAGAAGCTGACGTGATCAAGCGTCTCATAAAGTGAGAACATCAGTAAGACTCTCAGTGCTCTGAAGCAACAAAAAAGACATGGGTAAATAAAATGATTCCTTACTTTCTTCTATTTCAATCAGTATTTGGAAATGATTTTGGGAAGACAACTAAAAATCAGATATTATTGCAAAATTTTGTTAAATTTTTCTTATATCAATAATTTAAAGTCAATGATTTTATGAAAGAAAATCAACCATCCTCAACGTTGATTTTTGCATGTAAAACAATTCTTTCCCCTCATCAACGTTCTTCTTTTGGGGATGGCAGGACTGAGGAGGAAGTCACGAGGCACCAGGCTTTTCTTGGGGCACAGAATGACTTCCTTACACGACACTCTCCAGGTCCACACCCGCCCGGCTCATACACATAAACAGATGGAAAGGAGGACAGAGCCTGGACCACGGGAATAGGTTTACAGCACGTTCCTGGGGTCAGAGCTCTGGGAACCCCGAGGCTCTGAGACAGTAGCTGCCCCTCAGAGCTCCCAAGTAGAGAACTTTCCAGGATTTCCCAAACTAAGCTCAGTGCCCCCTGGCTGGAAATCGTCCTTTAGGGCTCAATATCCCACTTCCCTCTGGCAGCCAAGCAGCTGTGAGGAGAGAAGAGGAGGAAGCGCCAGGGAACCCAGAGCCACCAGACAGTGACACCACAGAGCCACAGCCATCACACCCGCACAGGGGAAGGACATGCACCAAATCCCCGTCACCCCAGCACAGCCACGCACCTGTCACAGCCTCGCAGCCACACCCACGGCACGGAGGCGCATCCCACCGCTCACTCGCGTCTCTCACACACACACCCCGCCACACGCTGCCCGTCTGTCCCCACACACACCGTCCTCTGCCGTTCAGGCCCGAGAGTCCCGTGAGGACTGGCGTCCCTACTACCGGCCTCCACGCTGTGAGCGCTTCCGCCGCCACCCCTCCTGGTTCACGTCGCGCTCCGAATTGACTCGCTTCACAGGATTCCCGCATCCTGTGCTAATACATCCACAAACGAGCTCCACTCACCTTGCGAAGAGGGAGAACCGCGCGAAAACGGAATGGAAGCCGAAGATCTGGCGTGACTGCTGCCGTCTGGGAAGTGTCGCTCCAACCTGAACATCTCTGGGCGCCGCGGCTCGTCCGAAAGGCCACCGAAGCGCGGAAGTCCCGGTGGAACGGCAGCGCGAGAACCGCCCGGAGGCCGGCCCGAGCGCAGGTCTCTCAGCCAGGAGCGCGACGCGAGGGCGCGTGCGCGGGCACGGAGCCTGCGCGGAGGCCGCGGGTGCGCGTGCTCGGTCCAGAGGCGCCGCTGCGTCCAGGAGGCCGAGCAGGGCGGCCCGGCGCCGGCTCCGAGCGTCCGGCCTGTGCGCTCAGAGCCGCGCGGGAGGGTCGGCGGGGCGGCCCCGGGGCGAGAGCGCTCGGCGGGTGTGAGCTCTGAGGGCGGGGCCCCGGGCGAGTCCCCTCAGGCGGCTGCAGCCTGGGGACAGCATATGGGGCAAGTAACTCCTGATCCCGCCGGGGATGGGCTTGTTTATTCAGTGTCTGTTAGCTGCGTTTAAACGGTGTGTAGGAGTGAAGTAATACATATTTACTTAATTCTTTAGGCTAAGCTGTAATAGTCAAAATGGAATGAATAATTAAATGTAAAAGCGATCCAGAGTTACGCCTGCATATGTTTTTGTAATATTAAGTTAGGGACAGATTTTCCAACCATAACTGGAGAGAGAAATGCTAAATAAATACTGAGATTTGACTTGATAATTATGTGTAAACATCCGAATCATCTAAATGGCAATCAATTAATGAAATAAAAATTGATGCAATACAAAAATTCAATAACTTAACACATATAATGAACAGGCAGATAATCTCAAGGCACTGTGTTTTTGTCGCTCAAAATAATGGTCACTAGTCTAAGAGGAGAGTAGCAATAACTATAGAAATATAAATTATATGTGCAAATTATCAGCATTACATGATGATAATTGAAAATACAAATTATCATTAGTAATAAACATTATCATCAAATACATCAGAATCACAGTTACTTGACCTTTTGGGAATTGATCCTGCTCTCCATAAGGAGTAACTAAGAAACTATGGGTCATTTTTTCCCCTTAACTCTGTTTATGCTCCTGAATCTCCTGATGCGTTTTATTGCTCCATCTTTTTTCATAATTATTTTTTGTAGCTTCTTTCTCTTCAGCTGAGACATCTCCTATATTCTCTTTACACTATTCCATAAATGATCCCAGTTTCTTCCTAGGCATCATTGGTGAATTCCATGCTTTTGATGACAATGTAATCATAAATTATCGATGTTTTTTTTCCTCCAGTTTTGTCTATTCCTCACGTGACTCTCCTGTGTATAGCAATAGGCCAGTAGCTATGCATGACATTTTGGTCAGGTCAAGCAGTGAGAAGGAAAGAAAACCTAAACTCTCTCTTTGAGATTTTCAACGCAAGATCTGGGTGGGAGCCGACAAATAATTTGGAAGGACCCGTGATTAGTCAGTATGAGGATTTTATGCTCCTTCAAGAGTAATTGATGTGGGGGGGTGGGGATGGGGGGTGAAAGAGGTGAAGAGGGTTGAATAACAAACTTCCAGCTATAAATGTCTTGGGGATGTTATGTACTTGTTGACTATATTTATATTTATATTAACTGTAGTTAATAACACTATATTGCATATTTGAAAGCGGCTAAGAGAGTAGATCTTACAATTTCTCATCGGAAGAAAAAACTATGTAATTATGTACAGTGATGGATGTTAACTAGACTTATTGTGGTGACCATTTCACAAAATATACAGATATTGAATCACTATGTTGTACACCTGAAACTAATATGTCAATTATATCTTAATTATTGTTTTTAAAAAGAGTACTCAAGGTTGTTTTATCAGATGGACAAAAGAAGCTATTTCAAAGGAAAACAAGAAGACCTAATATGTAGAGTCTAATATTTACACTCCGTGGGGTCCTTGAGAAATGACTCTGTGTCCTGGCCACACTACTGGACAGTGCACTTGAAATACCAAGTAAAGTAAAAGAAATAAATGATATCAGTGCCCCACAAACATTTTCACATAGGATGATGTAGGAATCCTGGGCTCCCTTCTACCCTGCCCCCCACATACAAATATTGACCTGGGACAAAATTACAGAAAAGAAAAGGCTGAGTAAATTTACTCCACAATCATCACCACACACCCACCAGAAGCCTCAAATTAAAATTTGGACAGTATTAAGTGTCAGCCAGAATGTGAAGATATGGGAATTACAGTGTGGGACTATCAATTGGTTTGTTGACTTTGAAGGAAAAAAATGACAATATCCCCAGTAAAGCTGAAGATATGGTTACTCTATGATGCCTGCTTAATACCATAAGTAAATCCATGGGAATCCATATATATGTGTGTGTGTGTGTGTGTGTATATATATATATATACGCACACAGAAGAATCGTCTCAGAAGCATCATTTGTAACTGCCATAAATGAACACAATCCAGACTTCCATTAACAATAGAAGGAATAAACAAAATGATGTATTAATAGGATTAACTCACAACACTGAGTATGAATCTTAAATACTTAATATTGAATGAAAGAAATCAGATGCAACAGTATATATACATTACCCTAATTACACAAGGGAAAAAAACAGGCAAAAATCAGACTATGTTTTTGGCATAGAAATATATATGATAAAAGTATAGAGAAAGGCAGGGGAGGGTTATTATACTAATATGTATATTCGATACCCTGGGGGCAAGAGGAGTCTAGCAACAGTAGGGGGCATGCAGGAGACCTACTGGTGGTAGTAGTACTCTATTTCTTGACCTGGATTGATGTCACAC